TATGATTTCTTCACAAATTTGAATTTCTTCAACATAATAAAAGAATTTTTGTTTGAATCTTTTGAATATTAAAACTAAAAACACATGAGCCATCAATATTATAAGCAAAAAAAAAAAAAATGGAGAAATCTTAAATATGGAAATGGATGAAAAAACCTTGAAGCATGGCGATGGGAATGGAGAGAAACATTGAAAAACAAGAAATTGTAAGATTTTCAAATTCTTTGGTTCAAAATGGAAGTAAAATAAGTATTGTCATTTCTTTAAATTTTTTATTTTTTTACTTAAATTTGGTCAAAGGGCATTGTGAAAAAGTGGCCAGGTCAACCGACCATCTACCACCATTTTATATATATATATACACACAATTAAAACCTCATTATAGAAGGAAAATTATTAAGATCTTTTTTTTTTATTTATTTATTGAAACTTTAGATGTGGGGTTTGAGATAATTTTCCCGTTTACTGCCACCAAGGGTGGAGCCCAATAAGGCCCAATACAAGCATTTGCCTTCACTGAACTTTTCTTCGCAAACTCGAAAAATTTTCTGTTCCCCCAGTAGGCTGGGTAGGATTTGCAAGCCCAATGCTTTGAGTTATAAAACTGGAAATTTAGCCCCTGTTTGATGCTCTTAAAAAAAAGTTTTAAGGCTAAAATGAGTTTTGAAATAATTATTTTTTAGAGAATGTGTTGTTAAAAAAGTAGGGAAATTTTTGAATTTACGTGCAAAATAAATTTATTGTGAGAATGTGTTTTGAATTGAATTTTAGAAAGGGGAAAAAATGATAATGGAGAATGGTGAAATCCTAAAAAATTGTGATTTCAAAAAGGTTGTAAAATTGTGGAGAAATCGATTTTTAAGTGTTTATGCTTAAATTTGTATAGGTTTCTATGTTTTTTTTTTTCCTCAATATTGCTTTTTGTTGGCTGAGATAACATTTTTTCTTAGCATGATACTAAAAACGAGATTATGGATTAAAACTTACCTACATTGGAAATAAACCATTATAATGTTTTTCTTAAAATGTTCCATTGCTTGAGAAAAAGGTCGTTTTTCTTTGTATTTCAACTTTGTGTTCACTTTGTTGTTTAGTAGTTTTTCGATGGGATAAAGGCAAAAAATAAACTTAGGAACAAATCATCACTTAACAAATGAGAATAAAATAAAAAATTATTTGATGTGTGTTGAAAATAATATTTAAATGATATACATACATGTGATATCAGTTACATCGATTGTTACTGTTTTTTGGCGAATACCAAGCTATTTAATGTATGGATGATAAAGGAGGCTCATGACCTATGTTGGTGACCTCTATTTCACTTTGGAGGGCACCTGCGTGTTTCGGTCCAATTGATTGAGCCTATTGTTGACCTCGAAAAATGACTTCGACACATGGTCAATAGAAGATGTCTTCCAGTCGACTCCTTCCTACACACGTGGCACACCGTCAGTTGCTTGAGGCCTTTTCCCGGAGGGGTTGGGAGCGGCCAGAAGCACTCCGACGGTCAAGTCAGCTTAATATTCAAGAAGGAGGTTCATCGGCGATAGGTCACTAGCCGGGAAATAGTTTAAGTATGAAAGTGCCAACAATAAGA